AGAAGAAGAAGAAGAAGAAGAAGAAGAAGAAGAAGAAGAAGAAGAAGGGGTCCACCTATTCTCCAAAGCCCCTGAAGGCAGGGCAAGAAACAAGGGATGGAAACTGATCAAGCAGAGAAGCAACCTGGAATTAAGGAGAAACTTCCTAACAGTGAGGACAATTAACCAGTGGAACTGCTTGCTGTTAACTCATAAAATATTTCTACAGTCTTTTTAGAGTTGCCAAGAAAAAGGGAGGGAGGGGGGAGCAGTGCAGCAGCTTGGAAACTGAAAGTGCATTCCACGAATGTTTTCAAAGATAGTAACTAGGTGACTGAAGTTTCTGCTGTGCAAAATTCTAACTGGAGAGCATGATTGAGGATTCTGGACTATGGAGGTGTCCCATTGGAGAATATGAATTAGGATACACCCAGGGGGTAGAGGGGGAAACCAGGGTCAAAGGTGACAATGAATGATGTGTCCCAGAGACGGCTACACCCAGGCAGTTCCAGACATGTTAACTCCCAATAAATCCGTTTGAAGTTTTGGAAGTTTGGCTCGAGACTCCTGGTTTAATTGGGGGTAACGCCTGGAACCCTGACGCTTGCCTCCAGAAATTGTGGCTGCTCCATCACTGGAGGCTTTTAAGGAGAGACTGGGCGGCCATTTGTCCAGAATGGGGTAGGGTCTCCTGCTCCAGGAAGGGGTTGGAATAGCAGACCTCCAAGTTCCCTTTCAACTCTGTCGTACTATGTTCTATGCGCTCCTTTCTCAGGAGTCTACTGCTGCGGGCCAATTCCAGTGAAAGCTGTCAAGGATGGACAACTGGATTTCAAGTACGATGCGAAGTTTGTGTTTGCCGAGGTGAACGCCAGTGTTGCCTACCTGATGCTCCAGAGCGACATGTCCCGGAAGAAGACCCTGCACCCCAACCTGGTGGGCAAGAAGATCAGCACCAAGAGTGTGGGGAAGGACACCAAAGAGGACATCACGCACACCTACAAGCACCGCGAAGGTACTCGGAGGGGCCGTGGGGAAAATCGGGCGGGCACCCTTGAGCTCATCCCAGCAGGAAAGGCCACTGTAGCTGAGCCTGGAATTACGTCATAACTCACGCCGATCCTGAAGTGGGCTCCCCACGTCCACAGGAACGAATTTATGACTTTTGTAAGTCCGGGATTACCTGGATATAATTTTGAGCAAGGAAACATCAGCAAGACAACAACCTCTTTAGAAATCAGTTGGGTTTGGGCAGCGTTCCTCTGGCGCAGGTGGAGGGAGAGGAACTGCCCTCTGGCTACCCCGGGGGTGGGCTGCGACCGCTTCGCCCTGGTTCTGGGAAAGAAGTAGGTCATTTTAGGGTCGGTTCGACAAACGGGCAAATCCTAACCCTGGCTGGCCCTGCACGCCACGCCACGCCCTGCCCCATCCTTCCCAAGGGTCTCCATGCGGCCTGTTTTGGATTCCAGGTAAGTGCAGGGCCCACGGGAAGACCTCCAGAGGACCTCCGGAGCACAGGAGAGGCCATTTCTGCCCTCCTGGAGGCTTGAGGAAAGCCTCGGACCCCAGAGAAGGTGTAAATATCCCCCCTCTGTCGTAGCGCAGGAGTCCGATTAGGCCCCACCCACCATGGCCACGCCCACCCAGCAACCGAGCAGAGAACCAGTTGCTAAAAAATTTTTTGAAGCCCACCTGTGGCAGGATTCCAAAACTTTTACCAACTGGTTCAGTGGTGGGCGTGCTTTGTGCGTGTGCACACACTTTGCCTGTGCCAAACGCGCACTTTGCTCGGGGCAGAGGTGTTCCAACTCCCCTCCTGCGAGCCTGCACTCTCCCGGTCACTTCAGCAGCTGCCGCGCGGCACTCGGCCGTGCCGCGAAAAAGCAGCTACGCTTTGAAAAGCAGCAGATAAAGGTGAGCGGGGGAACCTGGGTGGGCAGGTGGGCCAAACACCAGAGTGGCGGAGAGAACTGGCTCGGTTTCCACTGCTCATCGCCGCTACCAGCCGAACCAGTAGCATCCCACCGCTGAAGCCCACCCCTGAGGAAACACCCCCCCCCCAAAAAAGGACATTTCCCAAGTTTCCTTGCTCCTCTTTTGGCTGCAGATTCGGAGGAGGAGAAGCATGAGAAGACCCAGACCCCGCAAGAGGAAGGTTTGTCCCTCAGGATCAAGGCTTCTGAGGGGATGAACAACGGGTGCGACTTCGACGTCTTTGTGGTCATCAACAACAACACCCCTGAGGAGCGGCTCTGCCGGCTGAGGATTTCGGCTGCGACGGCCAGCTACAATGGGGAATTGGGCCCCGAATGCGGCTACAAGGACCTGTTGAATGTCAACCTGCAGCCCAACGCAGGTAGCATGAGAAGGATCGTACTCTGGCTGGGGATGGCACAGGAATAAATCCAAATGAAATCCAGACAGCTTTTAGGAAAGGGGAAATATTTCTCCCCAGGGGTGGTATTTAAACCGGTTCGGACCAGTTCGAATGTACCGGTAGCGGAAAATTTGAGTGGCGAGCTAAAAAAACACCATCTCAGCTCACCAGCGCTGACACAGAGGGCGTTTTTTGAGCACTGCAAGCACCTGCGAACGGTGCATTAGGTGCACATGCAAAGGTGCTCTTTCATAGAACCAGTAGGAACAAAGTTTGAATCTCATTTATTTATTTATTCCCCAAAGCAAAGAGATTTGCCCGGCGGGGTCAGCCGAAAAAAGAAGGAGGGGGGGTTACAGAGAGATGGTTGCATGGGGGATCTTGTCCTTTGGGTGGGTCTTGAGGTGGAGTGGAATTGGGTACTTCACGGGCCGGTTCTGGGGTGACCCTTGAGGGCTGTGGAAGTAGGTACATGTCGAGCCAGAGAAGGGTTTAATTAAGTGAAGAGAAATGGATCCGGTCTCTTTGTTTCAACTGAGAGTATTATAATTATGTTTACTCTGTGTTAATTGACTTTCGTGTGTTTGCTTCTGTGGGTTTTTAATCCGAAATCAGGGTTTAGTTCTCATGTTTCAGTCAGTTTAAAGGATTTCGGAGGCTCTTAATCAGTAACACTGGGTGAGTTGACGCCAGGATTTCCACGTACAGCGTCTCTAACACAATTATATACATTCATACCCTCTTCCCACAGGAGGGACTCGAACAGGTGACAGTCGGGCTTGCTCGTCCATCATCCTCAGGATGGGGTGAGGTGGACAGGAGAGGCAAAGGAGAGAGATGTGGGTCAGGGTGTCCACGGGGCTGATGGCGAATTTGGCTCCGACGTCTGAGCGGGCTTCACTTTGTGTGCCAAATGGGTGGCGTGTTAGCACAGTTGTGAAGGCACCTGACAAGTAAGGGTCAAACCTTGGCCACTTTAAGACTTGTGGACTTCGACTCCCACCAATCCTCAGCCAGCAAAGCCTTCTGGAAATTCTCTGGCCTTTGGGGGACTTGGCTTGTTCTAGGTTGCTCGCAGTTTGTGTCCCTGGGTTCAGGGGTGGGTCCACTTGGGCCTGGTTCGAGCGAACCAGTTCACTCTGATTATCAAACTGTCGAGCCCACCTGCCTGCCAGGATCTAGTTGGTGCTTTCTATCCACATTTTCCAGCACAGTTAATTCACACAATACCACGGGTCATCTGTTTAACACACAGCCGAAGGTGAGCTTGAAAGCACTGCATGCGCGCAGAGCGCATGCTCACCGAACCAGTTGCAGTCTACTGGTTGGATCCCACCCTTGCCTGGGTTGTGCAGTTAAGCAGTTGTCATTGTGTCTTTGGAAACGGGTTTACAGAGGCACTGCAATAAGTCTTTTGTCTATGCCTGGACTTCTGCCTCGGGAAGTTGTTTCCCGCTGCAAAACTATTGCAGGGCCATCCCTTGGAGACTGAGAAAAAGACAGGATTGAGATGGGTGGGTGGAGTAATGGATTGGTCAGCATCAGCACCTGCCCCCACCCTTCCCAAAAAATGTAGAATTGCAGAATAGCAAGATTGGAAGGAACCTTGGAAGTCATCTAGTCCAACCCTCTTCCCAAGGCAGAATAGCCGACGCCCCATTCCAGACAAATGGCTGTCCAGTCTCTTCTTCCAAGTCTCCAGTGATGCAGGACCCACAGCTTCTAGTGGCAAGCAGTTCCACTGGTCAGCTGTCCTCCCTGTTGGGAAGTTTCTCCTTAATTTCAGGTTGCTTCGCTCCTGGATGAGTTTCCACCTGTTGCTTACCTTATTCTCGTGGGGGAATAGGTTAACCCCTTCCCTCTCCTTTGGGGCAGCCCCTCAAATATGGGAACGCTGCTATCATGTCCCCCAATTTTTAAGAAAATTTATATGGCTTCCCGAGTCACCCTGAGTGACTCCAGGCAGCTTACAAAGATAGAAACCAAATAGAAAAATAGAAATCATTAAACGTCGGCTGACAACAATCAGTCAGTCAAAAGAGCCACTTGATGGGCTCCAACCCATCCTGGCCCAATCAGGCCTTCCGGGCGTTGCAAAAGAGTGCCAACATGGGGCCCAAGCTTGCTCCCTTCCTCCCTTCCTTACTTCGACAGGATAACGCAGTTGTAAGGGACCTTGGAGGTCTTCTAGTCCAGCCTCCCGCTCAGGCAGGAGACGCTATTTCATCTCAGCTAAATGGCTGTCCAGCCTCTTCTTAAAAACCTCCAGTGTCGGAGTGTTCCCAACCTCTGAAGGCAAGTCGGTCCACTGGTTCCTTGTTCTCACGACCAAGAAATTCCTCCTGAGTTGCTTCTCCCCTTGTTCAGATTCTATCTGTTGCTTCTTGTCCTGCCTTCTTGGATGCTTTGGAGAATAGCTGGACCCCCTTCCTCCTCCTCCTCTCTGGGGCAGCCCCTCAACTATTGGAAGATGCTCTCCTGTCTCCCCTGGTCCTTCTCTTCTCCAGACTAGCCAGGCCCAGTTCCTCCAACCGTTCGTTGTGTGTTTTAGCCTCCAAGTCCCCTCATCCTCCTGGTTGCTCTTCTCTGCACTATTTCCAGAGTCTCGACATTTTTTTTTTTACATCGTGGCGACTTTCATTTCTTTCTTTCGGAGGGAGGGAGGGAGGGAGAGAGACACACACACAGAGAGAGAAAGAGAGAGACAGAGACAGAGAGACAGAGGGGGGAGAGACAGAGAGAGAGAGGGAGAGGGAGGGAGGGAGGGAGAGGGAGGGGGAAGAGAGAGACAGAGACATAGAGACAGACGGGGAGAGGGAAAAGAGAGACAGACACAGAGAGAGAGAGAGAGAGACAGAGAGAGACAGAGAGGGGGAGAGAGGGGAGAGAAACAGAGAGAGAGACAGAGAGACAGAGGGGGAGAGAGGGGAAAGAGAGAGAGAGAGAGACACACACACACACAGACAGAGACAGAGAGGAGGAGTGTGGGAGAGC